CAGAATAGCCTGCTCGTTGCTAACCAAGCTTGGAGGAAACGCTCGTCGTTCGTCGTTTAACTTCATTTTCTTGAATTTCTTTAGATTTTTTTTTTTTTTTTTTTAATTTTAACCTCCAGCCTTTAATTACTAATACATTTTTCTATTGTTGATGGTGTTAACTTTTTCTTCAACTTCGGTCAGGATTGAAGTTAGCGCAGGTAGCTGGTGTTAACTTTTTCTTCAACACCCAGAAAAAGACTACAAAACCACTCTTGCCTTGAAATGATCATTCGAGTTCAGCTCTGTTTCTCTTCTCCAGAACTGACGCGCTTGAGACAGACAACTATGATTTCAGGCTTGAGAGGTATTGAAACTCGGTGGAGGATTTGACATTTTGAAATTTTGATAAATAGTGAAGGGTAAATTTGACATTTCGTTACCTTACAATTGTCAAAAGACTTGTGTACCACCAGATAATATCTAAATAGTAAGGGTACAGTTTGTCAATTTTGTAAACAATAGAGTAGTTTAAGAGATTTATCCTAATAAAATTATGTCTAAAACTCGCAATGTTACTAAATTGACGTTAAACAAACTAACGGTTGTTAATATATTATTATTTTACCCTTCACAGAAAAATAAAAATGTAAAATATATACATGAGGAGTGTATGATTTTGTTTTTCAAAGCAAATATCACATAACTGTTTTTTATTTCAAACAAGCAAAATCATAAGTAATGGCCAATTATATTAAGAAATGAAAGCATTAAGAACTTGAGAAAAAAACTTCTCTTGATTCTGTAAACACAGCAATATTCCCTTCCCTGATCACAACTTTGATGGCAAACCCCATAATATTTGCCGTGATCTTCCTCGATATTCCCTTCCCTTATCACAACTTTGATGGAAAACCCCGTAATATCTACTATGATCTTCCTCCCTTCTAACACTAGAGACTAGTGAGACTTACCATAGAAAGTGAGGAGCGCCAGCACAGTAATCCATGCCACGACGGCTGCAAGGACGGCAACGGCCAGCATTGCCACCATAGAAAGCAGATTGGACACAATGCTGAAGAGCACCAAGACATAAAGAGCTGGCCGCCCAGCAACTCCGGCTCCATTAGAAGAAGTGGAAGAGATGTTGGAATTGTACCAAGACAGAATGGAACAAAGGAGGTTCCATGATGAAGACAGAAGAAGAGCGTACACCAACACCAACAGGCACGCCCATGTTCTTCTCTTGCTCATCAATCTCTTTAACAAAACCCAGGTCTCTGAGTCTAAGGAGCTACTTTGCCTTTGTTCCTCTTCTTTCTTTTCTCCTTCAAAGTCTTCTGGCACCGAACCATTAAGGATTGATTATTTGATGGGCTTTATCTTATTTAAGCCCATTATCCTTAGGTTTTCATAGGATGGTTGGATTCAATAATCATTTAATGTAAATGTTGGGCCCATTTTGATCCCATAGTGATGTATTCAAAAATTCGCTACGTTTAGCAATGAATTCAACAATACCTTTTCATAGAGGCTAGGCCCAACCCATGTGAACTTATGTGAAGTCATTGTGGGGTCCCATGTCATACAAATCAGGCCTAAGTTGGTCATGCAACACCCTTGGATCATAAGCCTTATAGCTGATGAGCTTAAAGCCTGTAATTAATATGATTAATTAAGTTGTCACATGATAGCTTAAGTTGTCATGTGACATGAGGCACCTATCCTCTTAAGAGGATAAGGTTTATCTCTTCAAAGAGTCCATATCCAATTTAGATTTGGATAATCTCCTAATTTGATTAGGAGAAGTGCTCCATAAAGAGAGAAAAGAAGAAGAGGGCAAATTGAACTAGAAGACCTCTCGATTCTGCTCTCTCTCTCTCTCTCTCTCTCTCTTCTTCTTCTTCTTTTGTCTTCCAAGAAACCCTAGTTCGACTATAGCTTTTGGGACTGATAAAGATCAATTCTCTCTTTGATTTTTGCAAGAAAAATTTAGAGGAATTCCATACTCACGTACCCAATTCGATCCAAGGAGTTGGATTACAATTTTGTTGAAAAACTACATTGTTGAACCAGGTTCAAGATTACGCTGTGTCATCTTCAGTGGATGCTGGTTTTAGGTTTGATTTGAACGTGAACTTCCACCTTGGGATCTACACTTGTGGCATCCGTATCAGGTATACATCTCCCTCTTTGTTTGGTTTCAAATCTAGTCCAATTCAATGCAAGATCGATCCAAGGAAAATGTAGTTTTTCAAAACATAGGGAATTGGATTCTCGAAAGGATTACAAAATTTTATAAATTTCGCCCAACCATCTGGTATGGTTCAGCCATCCATATGATGGATCCTAACTCTTCCTTTAGTACTAAGTGATACCGAAAAGTCTTTAATTTTTTTTTTAGATGCTCAATTGTCTTGGATACAAGCATGGTACAAAGTACCAATACACCTTTGGTCCCCAAACTTTAAAATGCGACAATTCAATATCCAAATATTCAAAATGTGCCACTTTAGTGCCTATCGTTAGTCAGCCATTAACCAGCCGTTAAGTGGCATTTGAAAAAGATATAAATGCCCTTCAATTGTCATCTAATTCTCTTTATCAACCATCCAAACATTGACAAAAAATTAGATGGGTCACATCTTAGTGGACATTCTGGTGACTCCAACTTTCTTGAACAGAAGAGGCAAGGATTTGAGACTGTTCATTTTTTATCAATGTTTGAATGGTTGATAAAAAAAATTAGATGACACTTAGAGAACATTTATGTCTTTAGAAAATGCCACTTAATGGCTAGTTAATGGTTGATTGACAGTAGGTACTAAATTAGCACATTTTGAAAGTTTGGGTACTGAATTGTCGCATTCTAAAGTTCGAAGACCAAAGTGGCACTAAGCCCAAAGTACAAGGTACTAATTGGAAAATTTCCCTAATTTTTTTTTCAAATTTTAGTTTTAAATAAATAAATGGGATCCCGAAAACACTTGTTTGTAAACAAGTGTGTTGGGCATCCACCAATACGATACAATACACCCTAAGGTCCTGCATCACAATAGTTATATGATAGTTTGTGATGGTGGGGTTGATAAGCTGTCTGTAGCAACTTTTAGTTTTTATGCCTTTACTAACGAGTTAAAATATATCATGGCTTCAGGTGGAAAAGTTTCTAAGCATATAGAGGCAGAGTTTGCGGAAATTTGGGAGATTGCAATGGAAATCTGTCTATGGAAGATTGCAATGGAAATCTGTCTGGCATTTTTTGGTCTTTTCAGTCTTGGATTGATAAAATTATGAGCTTGGCTTCTTTTCCGTGTTTTTTTTTCCTTGAACCAGTAAAATTTGTATATAGAAAAGTAACTTTTATGGGTTGTGCTCACTCTAGGCTAAGTTGTTTAGAGATAGGGTAGTTTGGTGGCCTAAGGTGTTAGCTTGTGGCTTGAACCTCTTATTTGTAATGTTTCTTCTGCTTAGTATTGTTTCTTTTCTGTTTAGCTATATGAAAAAAAAAACCCTCTTTTCATCTTTTACTATTAGCATTAATACTTTTCAAACAATCATTTCATTTGTTTTCATCACCAAGTTGCCTAACAATCATGTTTCTTTTGTCTTACTTCAGTAATTCAATTTCTTTGGTTCAAAATTCCATCACGTATCGGCCCATATTAACAAATACATATCAGATTGGGGCCTTCCTGATACTTCCCTACAGAAGGTCTATTGGGTCAGACCACAGTTCAAAGGGTAGCCAGAACTTAAACCGACCCCTCCGAACTGGTTTTGAAAAAATAAATAAATAAAACATAAAAAAAAAGCACCGATACAGATCAGCCTGTATCAATATTTAAAACCTTAGTTAAAACTGCGTTAAATTTGGGTCATTTATTAAAACACCCCCCCCCCCCTCCCCCATAGCTTCACATTCTCTAGTAGTCTAGTTTACTATTACAGAACTCCCTTTATAGTTTGAAACTGATTTATTTAATCGATTTTCTGTTAAGAATCTTTTGTATTACTGCATGAAAATGGCAACTTGACCACTTCAAGGGCATGGGCTCATGGTATTTTATTATGAAATCACCCCTAGCTCGAGTTTTTAAAATCAATGTTTGATTTTCAAATCTACCAATATACCATACATTTGGTTTTAGCAAAATGAAAAATAGAAAACTATGCATCCCATGTTATTAATTTGTAACATGTCTTCCTTTGAAGAGAATAAAATTGATGGAAAGGAATTATATTACCAGTGTTTTACTAGGGGCAAGAAAGGTATTTTCATTTATATATATATTTTTTTTCTGTACATTAGATTGGTCTCAACAAACACTAAGGCCAAAACTATGGTTTTCTACTTTAATCTAATGGAAGGTTAAGTAAATCAGTCAAGAACTATAGCGGGTGTTTTAATGAAGTACAAACCGTAGGGTAGGTTTTAATAAATTGATTAAACCTATAGGAGATGTTCTAGTTAATGACCCTTTGAATTTATTTTTTGGATAGGCATCTGATCTGTTATACATTAATAGGAGCTGCTCTGCATAGTAAAGGATAAAAGGATTAATTATCTTGTTCCCATTCATAGCTCATTTAAAGTTCAGCATAGTTCATTTGCAATTTACCTCATTAATAAGCTCATTTCATCAAGCCTGTTTAGAGAAAAAAAAACAAGCCTAAAAATATATTTAGGCTGTGTTTGGTTACAGTGCAAACTTATTTGCACCAGTACAATTGCATGGGAGTGCAAATGTAAAAAAATGCAAATTCTTGTTTAATTTTGTTCTGGATTTAAGTTTATTCCGCTTCATGTCTTAATTTACATCATTTGTACTGCAATAAAACAAAATAAGCTAAAATTTGAAATAAAAATAGGTCAGAATTTACACTCAAATCATTTGCACTGCCATGATTTTGCACCAGTGCAAATTTATTTGCACTGCAAGTTTGCAACCAAATACAGCCTTAATGTTTGTAGGCCTGGAAACACCGCCCAGGCTGGCCCACCATCACACCTATGCACGAGCCAAAAACTGCTGTCATGACATAATAGCACATCCTAAAACAATGAATATATACATTACAAACTATAAATAAATGTTAATACAACAGCATGATTTTGACAAGCATCTAACATTTTTTTTGTTTTTCTTGTAGGGATTCCTCCTTTTGGAGAGGGGTGGAGTGGGGGAGGAGCAAAAGTAAATTTCTTCAGTCACTCCGAATGCGGGTACCCTGAAACTTTTTGTTTATCTTCTTAATATTGAAAAAACATCTCAAGTATCTTGTAGCAGAATAGGGGCAACCAAAGAACCGGTATAGATTCTGGCAACCCTTCTCACCAATTTCAACATCTCCTCTTGAACTTAAATGGCTCAAATAAGTCTTACCCTCATAAATATAGAAAAGCTGCTGCCACAGAAGTACAGTTAAACCGATTCCCACAGAAAGACTTGCAACAAACAGATAAACAAGAACAATGCCTCTTGGGGATAGAAGTACTGCAGAGTCTAAGAAAGCAACAATAATTTCCTTCACCATTCTCAAAGCCATATCTCTGCTAAACACTGTCAAATGTCCAACAGACCTGTATGACATTGGGGGCCAAACATGAAACCCTGCATATGCAGTCATGATAGATACATACGTCGTACTGAACACTGCTGACAACAGAAAAGCAATGAAATACCGGTGATTTGCAGCACCGACACAGTTCCCAATCTGCAGGCAGAATATGATAGATGTTAAAGCAAATTAAAAAATCTAAACATGAATAACCACAAGAATTAGTGACAACTTGTGTAAATCAAATCATCAAGTGAATTGTCTACAAACTATTTTGAACCGAACATGTTTTAAATTCTCTGACAAAGAAGCTTAAAATTTAGTTGATCTGAGCTATACTAATGGATTCAATGATCACAGGCCAGCTATAACACGGGAGCTAGGTGATCAGACATGTAAAGTTGTGAGCTTTTAAGGATTTTTGTATTTTTTGGGCAGTAAAGTCCTTTTGTTTATATCAGTGAATTGTCAGATTTATTAAATCAAAGCCAAAGATAGTACAACTTGGGGAGAGGCACGAGATGCTACCTTCCCTTTAAGGAGGGGAGATGGAAGAAACCATCAACCCTTTAGTTAAAGAACATAACAAAGGAAAATGAAAATTATAATGAAGCCCAATAAAATGAAACCTGAGTAGCCCCTTGTTTAGCAAGATAATCAGCCAAGGCATTAGCCGATCTACCCAACCACTGAACTCTAACTGTCATGCCCCTCAATAGCCATTTGACCTTTTTTAAAATATCCTTAAACTTCCAAGTGACAGTACCCGGGTCAGCCAACCATCCTACTACCACCTTGGAGTCCTTCAATTATTAAGTTTTGCACTCCAAGTTGATAGGCAATCTGTACCCCTGTGCTGCAGCTAGGAGTTCAGCCCTCACAGAGTCTCCTATTCCCACCGGTCCCGAAAAAAAGGCAATAAAGTCCTTCTCAACTTACATGTTTTCCACGAGATTATACTTTATCAGGTACAAGTCTATTTTTGCTTAAATTTCATAGCCATTGGTTAAATAGTTTAGGAGATCCCGATTATTCTCTTGAATTATTACCATCGTGTAAGCCTTGTCACAACTATATGGAGTCACTACGTGAATCCTATTTCAATGGTTCAAAAATTTGACAAGATATGCCCCACGTCGAGCATATCATATAGTATCAGTGGCCTGTTGGTACGTGAAATGAAGGTCTTTTGGGGCAAACCCATTTCAGGGGTAGGCATGTCTTAAACCAACCCCTTGAAAAGATTTTGAAAAAAAAAGACCTAAAAAAAATAAAGTGTAGGGTTCAAAGTACCGATAAACCCCTTCTACCATATTAGGGTGTATCGATACTCTGAACCTTGCCTGTTTCACCAATTCATTCTGTTCAGTCCATACCCATCGCTAGATTATGGGCACTGAAATCATTTCTCACTATTTCTAAAGTCCTTTTTTGTCTGCTCCTGGCTTTATCACCATTCATCCTACATCTTTGTTTTCATTATCTTATTAAATAGCTTACTTTTCTCAAAAATATAAAAAGCCTACTTTGTTTCACCAATTTGTTCTGTTCAGTGCCATATCCATAACAAGCCTACTTTCTCACAACTTTCAAAACTTCTGTTGGAGTACTATTGGGTCCTAACGTCTTTCCCTTTATCTTGTTTAGTGCATCTTTCACTTCAGTAAGTCTGGTTTAACAAAGGTATATGTTATTTTCAGTACTATGAGTTACTAATCCCTCCACTAGCAGTCTCTACATGTTCCTCGTTTAATAATGTTTGAAATAGTTTTTCCATCTTAGTTCTATGATCTTTAATCTAGCTTCTTTGATAAATTCCATTTCTTCCTTCTTTGGCACTTTATGATGTAGTTCATCAAATTTAACTTTACTTTCTTGCGCCCTTTTTTATGGTTTTATATTTTCTAAGTTTTCTACTTTCTTAGGGCATGTTTGGTACCATGGACATCTTTTCAAGAAATATTTATTCCTTGGAAATCATTGAAGTAATATTAGTTTATGTGCACATTTTTTATTATTTTTTCAAGTCGGTTAAGTGCCACAAAGACAAAAAGGTAAAAAGTAGGTGGTGAAACCAGGTGTTTAAAGTAGGCATTTTTTTATAAACATCCCAACCAAATAGAAAAAGTAGGTGGTGAAACCACCATGCCTACTTGGTGCTGATGTGGAGCATGTATGCAAATAAATGTCAATGGTACCAAACACCTACTTAGTTCTTTTGCCTATCTTTATAACATGTTTATTTTAATTGGATTATATTTTGAACATCTTTATTCCACCACCAAATTTCTGTATATATATTCTCCTATAACATCCTTCTTACTTTCTACAAAATTAGCCATTTCATGCCACATATCACTAATCTCTTCATCTAAATTTTATTTGACTTCTACTATGAATCTATTTCTAAATTGTACTAGATTTACTCCTTTTAGATTTACCCACCTAATACTTTGACATCTATTTTCTTCTGTAATTCTCTCACATTTTCCTAGGCATATATCTACCATCATTAATCTATGTTTGAGTGGTTAAAACATTAGAATAACTTTGCAATCTTTACATATCATTCTTTATGTTCTCCTACGAAAGGAAAATAAATCTATTTGACTTATGTTTGATCAACTTTTAAATGTTATTAAATGTTTATAATTCTTTTGAAAATGTGTTTACAATTGTCATTGTTGGTTCGGCTGTCTTAATTTGTATGTTTATCCTTGTTGGGTCTTAAGTCATTAGTTATTGGGCCCTAGTTACTGGGCCTAATCTTATTTAGTGTTTATTTGACTAAGTGTCCCTCCACTAATCAGGGGCATTCTGGTCTATTTATGTAACATTATGTAATGTTGTTATAT